TGAAATCTCACTACCGCCAATACCAGAGTTTGAAAATAAAAGTTGAAATTTTATATTCTCATTTTGGATTTTGAAATCTCACTACCGTCAATACCACAGTTTGAAAATAAAAGTTTGAATTTTTTTTTGGTTTTTTAATTTTGAAATCTCACTACCGTCAATACCACAGTTTGAAAATAAAAGTTTGAATTTTTTTTTGATTTTTAATTTTCAAATCTCACTACCGCCAATACCACAGTTTAAAAATAAAAGTTTAAATTTTATATTTTCACTTTGGATTTTGAAATCTCACTTTTTATTTTTTTCATGAATCTCACTACCTTAGAACTTGACACTTTATACTTTTATTTTATAAAACTGGGGCATTTTATACCTACAGGGGTGTGTGTGGAGGGGAGGTTACTGTATCACACTATTTTAATGAGACAAATCAATAAAACACATTTGAAATTTTATACAAAAAGTTTCAGCCTGACGGCACAGTGAATCAAAATTAAATAATTTAAAGCGAAACAAGTTTTACTGCAGCAATGATCGGCGATTATATCAAAACAACGTGCACAATAGACGGCAATGTAGAATTTGTACACTCTCAGTACAGCTGTATTCTTACGTCACACGTGTGTCAACAGTTTTATGTGTCCGACAAAATTATTAAAAATAATGTTAATAGAGTGTTTATTTAAAATGAAATAAGTGCAATTTTCTGTTCTTTATTTTCTGTTTTTACACTTATTTATTTAATCTAGGAAAACATGTCAGCTAATGGGAGAAAATGTTGTATTCCTTGTTATATTTGACTCGATGTGACGTCATGTATAATTATTCCATTTCTCTGCTGCCACCTTTTCTACTTGATAATCTATTTGGATACTCTAATAATTCAGGGTTGAAGTTAAAATATATATTTTCCTTGGATATTTATTGTTTGCAATGAGCAAGCTTTTCTCCTCAATCCGTCCCAGCTCGAGCATATCTTTTATACTCTCCTATACTCAACTATACATTGAGAAACAGTCCTAACCTGAGATTACGAGTAAACTCCGACTTTAATGCCTTTTCGGAATAAAGCCCGAGTTGTAAATTATTGATTTGAAATACTGAAGTAATCATTTCATTTTATGAAAGCTCGATGTTTTTTTTTTGCAAAGTGGGCGACGAACATTGAATATTTCCGCTAGATTAAACAAAAATGTAAAATAGTGGTTTTTTTTTAAGTTTAAAGTTCAGCAGCTGAGATTGATCAATTGCTGATTTTAAGTTGTTTACTGCGGATTTGTCCGGGTAAGTTTAAGGACTAGTTCCCAGCAAGATAGGTCTTTATTTTAAGAATCCCAACTCTGGTCTAAAAAGAAACTGTAAGCATAATACCAAGCGAGCCTCCATGCTAAGATGTCTAAGATTCACAACGATACCTTTAAAACCTTTATCTGAGTATAATGTGGAAGAAATTGTCGTTTTTCTAGGTTTAAAATTCACTTTTATAGAGAAATCACGGTTTAAAATAATCAATTTTTAAAATTACGAACAATGATGTCTACTTTAATCTTGATCAGAAAAAATCTTTTCAGGGTACCGTTGTGAATTGGGCATTGCCATCTTTGCATGGTATGTCAATTGAAACTATACGCTTTCAATCAAGTTAATTAAAAATGCCAGCCTTGAGACTTGTGCATCTTCTTACGCTGTTTTTTTAATGATTTACCAGTATTTGATTTTAGATTTTTTAATAAATATTTTGGAAAACATATTTTTTAATAAATATTTTGGAAAACATATTTTTTAATAAATATTTTGGAAAACATATTTTTAAAAAAAAAATGCATAATTTTGCCTTGCTGAACCTTCTTATCATTCTTTCAACCTAAATTAGAGAGAAAATATAACTTGAACAGTGTTTACAATACACCCAACATTGTTTACAATACACCCAACATTGTTTACAATACACCCAACATTGTTTACAATTCACCCAACATTGTTTTCAATACACCCAACATTGTTTACAATACAACAAACATTGTTTACAATTCACCCAACATTGTTTATAGTTCACCCAACATTGTTTACAATTCACCCAACATTGTTTACAATACACTTAACATTGTTTACAATACACACAACATTGTTTACAATACAGCCAACATTGTTCACAATTCACCCAACATTGTTTACAATACACCCAACATTGTTAACAATACACCCAACATTGTTTAAAATACACCCAACATTGTTTACAATACACCCAACATTTTTAACAATACACCCAACATTGTTCACAAATCACAAAACACCCAACATTGTTTATAATACACACAACATTGATTAAAATTCACCCAACATTGTTTACAATACACCCAACATTGTTTACAATACATCCAATATTGATTAGAATACACCCCACATTGTTTACAATACACCCAATATTGATTAGAATACACACAATATTGTTTACAATTTACACCCAATATTGTTTACAATACACCCAACATTGTTTACAATACACCCACCATTGTTTGCTATAAAATATTTATAAAATATAGTAAATTGACAACTGGTTTAGTTACCCTTTTGCCAGAAGACATTCCGAGGATTTCTTCCTTGAACTTGGTCTTGTTTGTCTCGTCGGTGATGTTGATTTTATTGAAGTTGTATTGGGCAGCATTATTGTAATTTGAGTTGTTTGGTGGTAAAACAACTGTGTTTTTATTCCCATATTTTTCAACAACTTGAGATAGGAAATCCTCAACATTGGCGGATACTGGTTTCTTTGTAGAAACTAATTTATGCGTTGAAACTGCGTTAATAGCAGGACTTGGATTCTGTTTTGAGACCGGGGTTTTAACTAAATTATTTCCAATGTTTTGTCTTGAAGCCTGAGGATGTTTGGACACCAAACTGGATTTTTTCCTAGAAAAACTTTTTTTTTCAAAAACTTTAAAATAGTGATACTGTTGTTTTCAAATGAACCTCAATTAAAATTGAAAACATTAAATTTTTCAGGAAAAAGGAATAAACTTCTCATTTATTCTTGTTACGAAAAGATTTGAAGGATACTGTTGTGAATCGAACATTCTAAAGATGGAGAGTAACTTGAAATAGGGTTGTGGCCTGTGGGATATTAAATTAAAGAAAGTGATTATATCTACTTGAACTGTTTTTTAAAAAAAGTCTTCCTTGATTTTTTTGTTTGTGCCGTGGACGTTGCGGAACTTTTCTTCTTTTGGGTAAATTTTTCCCAATTTGTCTGCCAAACTTGCATTGCAGAATTATCGATGGAACGCGAAATTCTTCTCTTTGACTCAATTTTCTTCAGATTTGTTCCTTTTTTCTTGGGATTTGCAAACTTTTTCGTTTTTTGGTTCCCCATTTTTTTTGGTTTCTTTTTCTGTTTATTTGTTTGGCCTCTGCCAGTTATTGACCTTAAAAAAAATATTCTGAAGGATAAATTATATTCTAAGCATGACACCGTTGAGAGAGGATCCGTTGAGAGAGGATCCTTAAAGGATCCTCTCTCTCAATCTCAAAGAGGATTCAATTTTGATTTTGGATAGCCAAACATAGAAACAATTTTGTACCTCCTGCAGCGATCATAGACGACCGCTAGTCAAAACTCATTAATAGGAAACCCTGTAGTTAAAAAATAGGAAACCCTGTAGTTGAAAAATAGGAAACCCTGTAGTTAAAAAATAGGAAACCCTGTAATTAAAAAAAAGGAAACCCTGTAATTAAAAAATAGGAAACCCTGTAGTTAAAAAATAGGAAACCCTGTAGTTAAAAAATAGCAAAAATGCAAATTTTTGAAACCTGATTAGTTGAGAACTATTAAATCTACCATCTTCGTCCAAAGTTTTTACGGAAACACTGGAAGATCTGTAAAAATGTTTTCTCAACATCATTAGATATATATTTATCTATCGATTAGATATATATTTATCTATCGATTAGATATATATTTATCTATCGATTAGAGATATATTTATCTATCGATTAGATTTATATTAATCTATCGATTAGATATATATTTATCTATCGATTAGAGATATATTTATCTATCGATTAGATATATATTTATCTATCGATTAGATATATATTTATCTATCGATTAGATATATATTTATCTATCGATTAGATATATATTTATCTATCGATCAGATATATATTTATCTATCGATTAGATATATATATATCTATCGATTAGATATCTATTTATCTATCGATTAGATATATATTTATCTATCGATTAGATATATATTCATCTATCGATTTTTTCGTAAATCGATAGATCGTAAATACTATTTTAAAGTAAGAAAAATCTGTTTTTTTTTCTTATTTAATTGATTTTGAGAAATATCCTGATTATAGCATTTAAATCTGAATGAAGATTTAAAGATTGTGTACACAGCATTAAAAGTTTGTGGACTAAACATTAAAAGATTGTGGACAAAGCATTTAAAGTTTGTATACAAAACATTAAAAGTTTGTGGACAAAACATTAAAAGTTTGTGGACAAACATTAAAAGTTTGTGGAAAAAGCATTAAAAGTTTGTGGACAAAATATTAAAAGTTTGTGGACAAAATATTAAAAGTTTGTGGACAAAGCATTAAAAGTTTGTGGACAAAACATTAAAAGGAGTGTTCGAAAAAAAGTAAAAGAGGGTATAGACTTACGTCGAAAAATATTCGATGGTGATTGGTACTAATCTTACTTCTATCTGTTGCGTCTATAAGGAGAAAATTGTTAAAAAAAACTCATATCGAAGAACGCAGCGTCCATAAAAATTCAGAAAGTTGCATTATTCGACTCGGATTAATAAATTAAATTGATTTATACCCCTTAATTTTTTTGTGAACACCCCCTTTAAAGGGTTGTGGACAAAACATTAAAAGGTTGTGAACACAACATTAAAATATTGTGGTCAAACATGAAATGTGGTGGACAAAATATAAAAAAATTGTGGACAAAACGTTAAAATGTTGTGAACAAAACGTTAAAATGTTGTGAACAAAACGTTAAAATGTTGTGAACAAAACGTTAAAATGTTGTGAACAAAACACTAAAATGTTTTGAACAAAACATCAAAATGTTGTGAACAAAACATAAAAATGTTGTGAACAAATCATGAAAATCTAAAATGTACCTGAACCATCCTAGCTGGGATTCATATAGGAATGGGTCAACTGAGTAAAGACTGCACAAGCCAAAAAATAGATTTTTTAAAGGACTCCTTTTTACGGTCACCATTTGGGTAGTTACATTAATATGTGTTTGCAGCCTCTTAAAAAAATCTAAATTTTCCTTAGGTATGGATCGTAAAACGGATCATAGAAGGATACAAAGAAGGGATCAATAAATGGATCATAGTAACCCAAGGGTATAGGCCAGTATCCATGATGCTCATGATGATCAACTAAAATAAGATTAATTATCTAACCGTCTTAAGTTGTGTTTTTGTCTATAACTTAAGAATATAAAATATGGAAATCTCAAAATATTTTCATCTGATATCATATAAATATCTAAAAATATTGTAAAACTTAATAAAAATGAATTATAAAGGTTAAAAAGGAAATAAGTTTAAAGAATTATACGTCTTGTCATTTAAGTGTTAATGTAACATTACCGACGCAACTTTGTGACTTTGTAGCTCCTATAACAGGGGGGGCTGGATCTTAGCTACCTCTCCGTGTGTATTGGCCTGAGTGTACGCTGAATAGTTTACTGGTAAAGGATGTTTAGAGATTATGGCCCATTCATACAGTAGAAATATCAAATATACAGTACGCTTTCGGAGTACAAGTGTATGGAGAGGTTTTGTATCTTGAATTTTATTCAGTTTTCTCAGAACAGTTTATTAACGATGAAATATTGCTCTGTAAAATACTGTAATGGTTTGTCTTCCTGTGAAAATGGAATCCTGCACACGATAAATGAGTAGCGGATTTTAATAGTTACATGGAAAACAAATTCTCCATTTAAATATTTTCAGAAATCACCCCCGAGTACTGTAATATACAGAATGACCTTTGGAAGTGAAGTACATGGCCTGTACATTTATTAAAGGATTAGCGTACATCATCACTCTATATACTATAACCTCGTTGTCCTATAACTTTAATTTTAAAAGAAAATTGAATTGGTTACATTTAAAGAAATTCTTTTTTTTTCTCAATAGCCCATCAATAAGAGGAGGTATGATTGAAAACATGTGATATTTCAATATAAACATACTATAATTAACTAACCTTCATGATGTTCTGTTGTAGTAGAAGATGTTGGAACAACTAAAAAATATATTTTAAAAATTAAAAAAATCTTTTGGTAAAATTCTCGAGTTTTTAGAAAAAACGTTGTTTTAAATCCAAGATCCAAATTTTTATAATGTACGTGCCACGTGATATTCTATGAATTTTGTTTATTACCGACGAGAGGTTGAAAACTAAAATATTCATTTTTTATTTTGTGCTTGAAATGTAAAAAAATATTATTGCCACAAATTTTCTAATACATTTATTTAATATAATAATATTATATAATTTAATATGCATACTTTGTGGGACGGGGGGAGATGAATAGTTATTGAAAAAAAGTTGAAGCCTTGTACACAATATTTTTAAAGCTTGAGTAAGATAAATCTTAATTCCAAATGCATGATCCGACCCGGTACAAGGATCTATTGATTTAGCTTAATCGTACGCTAAACATACTCGTACCAGCCTGACTAGTGGACCCAGCGCGTTTATACTACAAATCTAGGCTGGCTGTGTACATACGACCCTGTTTATTTTATTTTAAGTCACTGATATTAGTAGAAGTTGATTCTCTAAGTTTGAAACATAGAAAATTATCCTAAGTAAATAATTTTTCGATTTCGTATTAATCCTGAACAGTCTTTTAAAAGTAATGAATTTAATAAGAATTTAAGTCTACTTTATTAGAATCTAATTAAGGCTTTAGAAATGGCTATCAAAATCTTAGAATAAAATATCAGGGCATACATAGAATTTCCAAATCATGTACAGAGAGTGAGAAGAGTGAGAATACATTTATATAGATTAAATTTTCTAACAATTAAGAATGCAGATCATGAATGTCGTCTTTGTGTATTTGCTACCTGGTGGGGTTGGAAGTGTTGGTAGGGTTGACACTGTCTCCTGTTCTTGTGGTAAACACACTGAAGGGAACTCACCTAATTAAAGGGAGTGACCGGTAATGTATGATAGTTGAACTAAGAATGCAGTTTTGTAAAGACATTTTTTAGGAATCATTGAGACATATCAGACGTTTTTACGGTGCATATTTGTTCAGCAAGAGCGCAAATTCACTTTTTATAATCATCCTTTTTTGTCCATTCTGGAGAGATGATTTTTAGATTTTGGATTTTTAAACTAATCAATAGCAACGACGAAAACTGAAACAACAATTCTAAAGTAAACTAATTGGATGTTCAGGAACATATTTCTAAATAGAAATTCGTCAATAAATCAAAGTTACAATTAATTATTTCCATTTCATCATTATATTGAATTTTTTATTCTTAACAAATTGTTTGCAGATATCTTCAAATTCTTCAAATATCGTCTTTTCAATAAATATTGCAGGAAATCTAAAGAGAATGTTTGTGAACGACGAGACATTACAGAAACTAATAAAAAAATAATTTTAGTTATTTTCGATGATAAGAGTTAATTTTTAAACAACCTGTCAGTTTACTGTATAATTTTTGTAACATTTTTCGTCATCGTTCAACTACCATACATTGCCAGTTACTTCTAATAAAGGATTGTTTAAAAGGAATTTGTCAAGGGGGGGGGCTTTAAATTTTTTCTAAAGGGAGCTCAGCGCCCCGAATTGGGGCCCAAAAACCCCCTAAAACAATAGATTTCACTAATACGCCTCTGAGGATATTTAAAAGGGTACATTCAAAAATCATAAACTTTCCCTTTAACCAAAAACTGTTGTCCCATATACAGTCCAATATCTTAGACGCCGACACAACCCGTATACGTGGTATACGTAATATTATAGTCTTGCTTCGAAGTTCGATGTATCCATGAACGATAAAATAAAACATAAATAAAAAGATGTTTAATTTTAATGTATGAATAGTAATCTAACCTGATTGATCTGGTTCAAATATTACAACCCATATCCAATTAAACCCATCAATCTAGAAATAAATATTTAATACGAATTAAAGGGTATGTACACAATTTTACAGTTCAAATCAGAGACCCTTAAAACCTTTGGCGTTTAAATGTTGAACACTTGTTTCCAAGCTGTTTTAAGTTTTAACATGTACTATGTACATATAATGATGTACAGCGTACACTGCGTTTTATAGGGATTCAAGTTGTTTCTAAGATAATTAAACAAAGAGCTCTCCTCACTCTATGAACAGTCAAAGGTTTAAAGGGTAAATCGGGCATTGCCATATTCACATGAAAGGACACTATTAATTCCCCTTACAGTCCCTTTAAATAGAAAATCGTTTGCAAAGACTTTACTCCCATGCTGATGCTGAAACCTTGTACATGTGTTCTATTACCTGGGGGCAAGGGGAAAAGTCTGGAAGAACAAAAGGAATTGAAGGAGAAGGATCTTCTGTAGGGAAGGGAAGAATAGGAAGGGTTGGAAGAGTAAACAATGCTGTTGTTGTTGTTGTAGTAGCAGTTGGTGTTGTTGTTGTTGTTGAAGTTACCGGAGAGGGTCTGACTGAAGCACCTTCAAATTTGAGTCTATGAAAACCAGAAAACTATGGAAGAGGAAGACGACAAGCAGTATAAACCCAATTGAAAAATTGTCAAGACGATATTTTATAAATTCTTTCCAGGTTTTTAAAGTTCTGTGTTAAAATGTAGTATATCACCCATTAAGTAAAATAAGCCTGTTTATACTGCACTATTGCTGTGGCTTATGTTCATTGAGTTATTTAAAGTCATAACTTGAGTCTAAAGTCGTCTTTCTATTCCACAGCTTTCGGGTTCTCACAGTAGTTGAATTTAAAAGTATTTTGACAAATATTTAAGCATTAAACTTATTTTGGTACTTCCTGTACCTGTCGGGGAGGTTGCTGTTGACGCTGTTGATGATGAACCTGTTGACGAGGTTGCTGTCCCTGTTGTTGATGAACCTGTCCCCGTTGTTTCTGCAGCTGTAGTTCCTTCTAAACAACAAATCAACTTAGTTTTTTATAGAAGACCAGAATCTAGATAATCTCATGTCTAAAATCGTTTGTTCAGAATAGCTGATTTAATGCTGAAAAATCCCGGTATCACCAATGTTTGATAATTAAAAAACATAATATTGATATGCTTCGAAGACGACATTAGAAAAATTCCTTCAATGCCTTCCTATTTATGGGATATACTGTATTTAAAATTGACCGATAAATATAATTGTTCTTTCTACAATGTGAAGTGATTAACAAAATTAGTAGTTAACAAAAAATAAAAATAATTTTCGTAAATATTTTGGAAACCGTTAGAGAATACGATTAATGAGACTATACCTGGGGTTGAAGATTGAGCTTCTGTGATATCAGTTTGCCCATGAATTCGACCAAGATTAATCAAACAGAAGACGACATTCAAACCTTGCATTTTCAAATTGCATTGATTCTCTAAAAAAAGGAAAAATTTAGGTTTAAAGTTCTTTTTATGAAATTTTCCAGGGGAAGGAGACGACGACTTAACCTCAATTTTATTGGGGCGGGGTGGGTCTCTGCTGAACCCCACCCCCTAGATAATATTGGGGTGGGGTGGGTCTCTGCCAACCCCCAACCCCTAGAAAATATTGTGGGGGGGGTCTCTGCTGACCCCCACCCCCTAGAAAATATTGGGGCGGGGTGGGTCTCTGGTAACCCAAACCCTTAGAAAATATTGGGGCGGGGTGGGTCTCTGGTAACCCCCACCACAAGAAAAAATATTGGGGCGGGGTGGGTCTCTACTAACCCCCATCCCCTAGAAAATATTGGGGCGGGGTCGGTCTCTACTAACCCCCACCCCTAGAAAATATTGGGGCGGGGCGGGTCTCTGCTGACCCCTTGAAAATACACAACTGGGGACTCTTATCTCAGAAATAACTAAAAAAGTAATGTCTGCAGTTAGACCTATAAAACTGTGAAATATAAAGACGACATTTATTCAACTTTCTGTGTATTAGATGCTGTTATAATGCAAAAAGTTTTTTAAGTAGCTTGAAAATCCATTGAAATTGGATTTTCTGTAAAGTGCCCAATTTCTGTATTTCATGTTCATTGGTGTCTATTTAATATCATTCCTTTAGTTTAGATTTCGTCTTCCCATTCCACAGTTTTATGGGTTTCACTGTATATATTGTATATAATGTATACAACCTAACCCCTTGCATCTCACTCTACATATTGTAAGAAATATTGTATATTGTATATATTGTATATAACTTAACCCCTTGCATTATCCGACTAAACTAAAAACCGAAATGCAGGATAATTAGTTAACTATATAATTTAATTATGTTTTATATTATTATCTATGGCTGCAAGGACAAATTGAACAGTTTATTTCCGTTTCAGATTTGATTATTTTAAAAAGTAATGTTTCGTAATATTTACTGTTAGTCAACCTCAAATAGATTGTCAAGTACAATAAATGGCAACGTAGAATTTTACACTCTCAGTACAACTGTATTCTTACGTCACAACTTCACAAGTGTCAACTCAGATTTTGTGGCCGACAAAATTTAATTGATAGTGTTAATTTTAGATGTAAGTGCTTATCTTACAGTGAATTAAATTTAATTATGTGTTTTTTATTTTCTGTCTTTACTCTTTTTTATTTATTCTTAGAAAACATGTCAACTAATGTGAGAAAATATTGTTTTCCTTGTTATATTTGACACTTGTAACGTCGTGTAAAATTGGTCTATTTCTCTGTTGCCACCTATTGTACTTGATAATCTATTTGGTCATTTTGGACCATAGAGTAATTAACGAAAAGGTGAAGCTTAGCTCAGATGTACACAACCGACCTCCCTTTTAATTAATTAATAGAGCGGTCTGTTGTGTGCATCACAATATGTTTACGTATCTAACACTGCAGTACACTTGTATATAGAGTGATCGTATTTCTAAGGGGTGGTTTTATGTAGATATTTAAATATTAGTATTGATAATTAGATAGACACTTAATATGGATTTAAATAAAGAAAGAAAATCTAAAAATTGATCAATTCCAAAAATCCCCCTTAGAAATACGATCACTTTATAAACAAGTGTACAGTGTTAGATACGTAAACATATCGTGATGTATACAACCGACCACTCTATCAATTAATTAATAGGGAGGTCGGTTGTGTAAATCTTAGCTAAGCTTTACCTCTTCGTTTTATTACTCTATGATTTGGACTAGCCAGGGCGGAATGCGTTCTGTTCAATTGCGTTTTTGATCTTTAACTCAACAATTTTGTCTTTTCATACTTTTTTATTTAAAACGACGAAAAATTATAAATAAAAGAAAAATTTAAATTTCTGTTTAAGAGGTCAAATATCGAAACATACAGTTTGCTAGGCCAGGACCAAACCTCTAAATGCGCGTGAGGTTGGTGTAATTACTTTTTCAAAATAAGAAATTGAGGTAAAAATTGTAAGTTCCATGTTTTTAAAGGAACATAAAAGATCTAGATCATGCTTTCCCCTTACCATTTTTTATTAAGGGGTAATTGTTTTACTTTAGAATCTTTAAGCCATAATAAAAAAGATTGTTGTTATTAAAAAAATAATTAATCATTTTTCTTTTTTTCTTTAAATCTAAAATTTTTTGATGAAACTAATTCCGTACCAGATTTTGATATATTAAAATCAATTTGATAAAAGGAATGTTCTAGCTCTCAGTGCATGCAATGGTCGCCAAAATAAAGTAAAACAGCTGGGATATATTTTACTCATTATTACCATGGATAAGGGTGTAAGGTGTACATTTAACTCTTTAAAAAGGGTCGATTGAAGTAAAATAAACATGGATAGATTGTATAATATACCTTTTCATACGTTTATTCAAAACAATATTTTGTTCTGAAGTTGCCAATTTACTTCGATAATTACTTTTGTGACTACTGTATTTTACAAAACCAATTGCTGCTTTCTTTTTTCTTTCTTTCATTCAATTGATAATATTAAAGCATATTATAACTCAACCTGCTGTCAACATTAATCTTTATACAGGGTAAGTAAAAAACAAAATGATCATGTTTTTGATGTAAAAATATTGAAATAAAATGAACCAAATGCAAAAATATTTTTAGTAAAGTAAAGAGAAAAAAATCTATCGAAATAAAAAATGTGCAAAAAATATCAGTAAAAATATAGAACAAAATCATCTATGTACCTAACAATTACTTCACATTTTAATAATTACAGTTTGATACTTTTCAGCTGAAAACATGCATGAACAGTGCAAAAGAAATCAGTGCTGTGTTTCACTCTGTATATTTATGTATTTATATATATACAACACTGATTTATATATATATATATATATATGATTTATTACATACAATACAAATCAAGGCTTTCGTTTTTCACAAGCGTAATTTGTGCATCAAATACAAATACAAATTTTCCCTTTATTTATATAATGTTTTATGACGTTCTAAAATCGTAAAGGGGAATCTGTTATATCAGTTGCACACACAAAATACGCTGGTAAAATAACTTCCTACAATACACAAGCTTATTAAGTTGTGCGTAAAGTTTTGATAAAAATAAGTTTATTACGCATACATGATACAAGCATTGTTTTGCTTCTAATATAGTTAAAGATATAGTAGATAGTAGATAGTAGATAGTAGACAGTAGATAGTAGATAGTAGATAGTAGATAGTAGATAGTAGATAGTAGATAGTAGATAGTAGATAGTAGATAGTAGATAGTAGATAGTAGATAGTAGATAGCAGATAGTAGATAGTAGATAGTAGATAACATAATCAAGAGAGAAAGGTGAAGTAAATGCCCTACTCAAATAAATTCTTTTAAACCCGTAACAATCCAGGTTCATCACAAATACCATAGTCACATATCAATCCGGATACGACTCAGTCTGTATTCTCAGGTATCTTGTCTTAAAAGATACAAATCAATAAGGAACTCAAGGTTCACATGAATACCATAGCCAAAAGCAATCCTGATACAGCTCAGTCTGTACTGTCAGGTATCTGTCTTACAAGATACAACTAAATCGCGAACTCCAGGTAGCTCAATAATCTCAGGTATCTGTTTCACAAGATACTAAAGCATGCACAATCGCGAACTCTAGGTTGCTCAATAATCTCAGGTATCTGTCTCATACGATACACTTGGATTTAACGGTTCTGTCAATATTCCAGGAAGCTGTGACTTTCAATCACAATTTGACACATTAGACATGATTATTTAGCCTTTTTCCAAAATACTTTTTTTGTCGGCATATACGTATTGAATAAAAAAGTATAGTATAAACAAATCCGTAAGTTAATAGATTGTTAAATTAAGGACCAAAACACGTTTGATTTCAAATAGAAGAAACCGAATGCTGCTCACTCTGGCTAGTCTGGGGTGGATACTGAATCACACTCAATACCTAGCCTAGATCTATCTTTCAAGATGTGACTCAGGATGCTTCTCGTTTGCTAACCAAGAAGAATTACTCTCACACTGTGATTAAAGCAGAGTATTTTCTAACTAAATGTATGTTGGGTTCTATCTTACAAGTTAAATTAATCAACGTAATTACAAGTTTACTATGTTATATACAAGCATAGTTAAGCTAATCACATACAGGTTAGACGTAGTTATGAACAGACATAGCTAGGTTAGGTTAATCGCAATACAAGTTTTGCGTAGCTCTTTACAAGTGCATTTAGATTTAAAGACAATGCACAACGTAAGACATCTAGTCATGTTCAGGTTAACAAATATAGGGTTGCAACGATATTTGCTACAAAGGTAGGTTAAACTTAAAGGAAGAAGAAAGCAATTGTTTAGTACTTTCGTTTCAGACTTAATTATTCAATTAAAACCAAGGGATAGGGGGAGATAGAGCGGGGGCTTTTAATATTTTATATCACACAATATCTAAATATTTGTAAACACAACTTTAGGGTTCGTAATTACTACTTATTCTTGCCTAAAACCAGCTCAACTCAAAAAGGTACTGTGAACGTAATATTAAGTATTTAAAAAAGTGACATGTTTTATTCACAATTGTACGCTTTAAACTCTATTATAGTTACAATGAGGAAGCTATCCCTGTTCTTGTATATTTTGTTGTGTTGAGTTTTTGGGAATTTTTGACGTTTCTAGTATCTTTGAGATAGAACCCATAATTGGAGAAAATCAATTTTTAGCTTGAACTTAGAACAAATCTCAACCTAGTAAATCAATTTACACACTTCATTCTAAAAGAAATATTAGATGAGAAAAAAACCAAGTAAAATAATGTCTATTATTGATATATCCAACTTTTTACGACCCCCCATAATTGAAACCTTGTTTCCGATATCGGGTACAGATTGCCCTACGTTTTAAAGAGAGTGACCGGCAATGTATGGTAGTTGAACTGAGAATGCAGTATAGTAAAGAATTTTGTTAGGATTCATTTGAG